TTGTTGCACTTTTTGGAGTATTTAGAAGTATAAATTTTTTGAGTGGGGTTGCACATTAAGCGATTCTTCGCATTTGACTTATGAACACAACCTCTTTTTCTTTCCGTACATTGATTAAAATTCAGGACTACAATGGATGGGCCTTTGGAAAGAAGCCCCAATCTCTTCTCATTACTATTTTTTTTTTCTCTGATGGCTTTCTCTTGCCTTAACCATAGACTTTTGATGCAGGGAAAGAAAAGAACATTGGGAGAGAACATTACTTTGTCTGCATCTGAAAAAACTGGTCAATGCAATTATGCTTTGAATACTGAGGATTCACACTCAGAACCAAGTTCCAGCTGCCTGCAAGATGAAGAAATGGATGTTCCAGAAGTTGTAGAGGAGATTATTGAGATGTTACTCACTGGGTTGAGAGATACGGTATGAGGAACAATCTGTCTTTGTGGTAATTACAGTTGTTTAATTTAGCTAACTGGTTTATCCTTTTCACCGACCTTTTTGATTAATCCGTGAGGTGCAATCCTCAAAATAGTTTGTGGTCCTTGAGGAATAAATGCTCATCACATCTCCTCTTCCCTTTTGGGATGTGAGCAACTATTTTTGACATGGACTAATTTCAATATGCCTGTCTTTCATCTTCTTCCATAAGTTTTAAGTCTCCTATCAAACTACAAATGAGAGTTTCTTTTGCACGGATATAGGTTGAACCAGAGAGAAACTGACATTGGCAGTTTTTCAACCTTGTTTTAGTTTTTTATTTTTTTCTCTTTTATTGTTAAACTTATCTTTCCTTTTGCTCATGTGATATTTACTTGTTACTAATAGTATGTTTATGCAGGACACAGTTGTGCGTTGGTCTGCTGCAAAAGGTATTGGCCGCATTACTTCATGTCTTACATCTGCTCTTTCAGAGGAGGTCCTGTCATCTGCCTTGGAGCTATTTTCACCAGGCGAGGTATAGTGTGGGTGCTTTCTTTAGCTTATTGTTCCACACGCCTACCATTAAAATGGTTAAACTGTTCATGTTGGAAAATCTTTCATATTTAAATGGTGTACCGTACCCTCTAAGATATTTCATTTTATGTGCTTTCATTAGTTAGTTGAAATTATATCAAATTTGTAGTTCAAACATTTGTGCTGAGATGTTATATTTTCCAGGGTGATGGGTCATGGCATGGTGGTTGCTTAGCATTGGCCGAATTGGCACGGAGAGGGTTGCTTTTACCTATCAGCCTTCCTAAAGTAGTACCTGTTGTCGTGAAGGTGTCTTGAAAATTGATATTTCTCTTACCCACTTATAAATCTAGTGTATATTAGTTGACATTTTTGTTCAACCATATCAAAGTGTATGCCATATTGATCCAATGACAAAAGTTTTCCCTCAATAATGAAATGATTTTACATTTACATTATAAATTGAATGCCTTTTCTCTTTTTCTTCGGTTTCTTTTTTCGTTATGTTATATGATGTAGGTGTACTATACTTCTTGGTACATATGTCATATTTGAACTCTACTTTGGTTTTGTGGCCTTAGGTAATGTTGAGCTTGAAAATTTCTCTGCACTAGGTTGTTCTAATATGGTGCTGTTGCTCTGTTGAAGTTTAGTGAAAGATTAATGATCAATGTAAATGCTGAATTAGAAAACTTTGACATTTATAATGCATATATATATATATCATGATCACTTTTGAATCCTTTTCTAGTAATACCTATCTATACATTTTATAATCGCTTTTTATGCATAAGTGCCAGAAAGATAAATGCTTGGCTTGCAGAGGATAGAAATTAGCACTGATGATGAGTAATTTCTAAACAGGCACTACACTATGATATTCGAAGAGGTCCGCATAGTGTTGGATCTCATGTACGGGATGCTGCAGCTTATGTTTGTTGGGCTTTTGGTCGTGCATATTATCACAAGGATATGAGAAATATATTGGACCAGCTTGCAGCACACCTTCTAACAGTGGCCTGCTACGATCGTGAGGTGCTAACTTTTACTATTAGTATTATTTTCCCTATTGTTTCATACAACATGTGATTCTGGTTTTTTAATTTTATTTTTATGATGCTTAGGTGAACTGTAGAAGAGCAGCTGCAGCCGCTTTTCAGGAGAATGTTGGAAGACAGGGTAGTTACCCACATGGAATTGACATAGTGAATACTGCTGACTATTTTTCACTTTCTTCACGAGTAAACTCTTACGTTCATGTTGCTGTCTCTATTGCACAATATGAGGGTTATCTTTATCCATTCGTGGATGAGCTGCTGTATAGCAAAATTTGTCATTGGGTATGCTCTAACTTGAATTGTTTTGATTTATTTCAACTGCTTGTACAGTTTCCACCCCTTAGCTTATTTTCTCCACAAACATAGCTACGAAATTGTGCCTGGAAAGTATGTGTTTATATATCACCATAGAACTTATAAAGCATGTTTACTGTATATATCACCTAGTTTGTAACTCCTTCGGAAAACTTCATGTGTCACAAACTAGCTTAAGAAAATAAGTTATTGAACCAGCCCATAAAATTGTTGGTTGGTCTCTTAGTACATGACAAGTCTTTGGGCCTTGGGCCATTACTTTGGCAGAACAGTTGTTAAGTCAGTAGTAAGTTGGTTCTCAAAGGTCTCTCTTTTTTGTTGTTAATTTAGATTGCTACTGGTAGACTCTGTGTACTGTACTGAAAAATTCATGTATTCATGCAGCATGAAATCTTTTCTATGTAGTGTGGAACAGTGGAAGGTAGTAGTATATTCATTCAGAAGGAAGAAAAGGTCTGAACTTTGAATGTTTCTCTGACGGGTGTGAGAATCCTGATTCCAAGGACCTGTAAAAAGTGACTAATTGTGTTTGTCAGTGTGACTGCTACCAGTAAAAGGACAAAACAAAAACAAAAACAAAAAACACAACAATGTTGTAAGAACAAAAATTTTGTTGGCATACATGATTTGCTCTGAGTAGCACATAGATTGTGATTTTCTTTTGTAAATTTTGTCCATATTCCTATGAATTTCATCATTCAGCATCAATACTTTTGTTACTGTAGCATGCTATAGCAAGTTTAATATGCTGAAAAATATGGAGATTTGTAATTACTCAATGTTATCAGGATAAAGGCTTGAGAGAACTTGCTGCTGAGGCCCTTTCTGCACTTGTTAAATACGATCCTGACTATTTTTCAAACTATGCTTTGGAGAAAATAATTCCTTGTACTCTCTCATCTGATTTGTGCATGCGCCATGGAGCGACACTAGCAGCTGGGGAACTAGTTTTGGCACTACATCGATGTGATTATGCTCTTTCCGCTGGTTGGTATTCTTACCTCTTGGAAATATAAGTGAAAAGCTCAGAGTACACTAAATTTAAATTCTTAGATTTAAAATTTAAAAGGAATCTTTGTATGTTGCTTTGTATATTTCAAATAAACCAACTTAGGAACCGAACTTGGGAAGAAGTAATACCTGGAAATGAAAACAATATTATAGGGGGAAAAAAACGTGTACATAAAAGCATAATTTTTTTAATTTTTTGATTAATTTAAAATTTTTGCCTTTTCTGAATGGTTCTTGTTTACCGGTTATGGTCTTGATTGCAAAAACCATTATGATAGTGTATAACTTGTCATCAGATAAGCAAAAGCGTGTTGCTGGTGTTGTACTTGCTATTGAGAAAGCACGCCTTTATCGTGGAAAAGGTGGAGAAATTATGCGTTCAGCTGTTTCCCGGTTCATCGAATGTGTATCGATATCTTCTGTGTCACTGCCAGAAAAGATAAAGCGCAGTTTGCTTGATACACTTAATGAGAATTTGAGGCATCCTAATTCTCAGATTCAGGTGGTTATTTCTTATTGTGAAGGCTTGTAGCTAATTGCTTATTTTATTTCTTTGTGATATCTGAATTGTGAATCAAGTTTTTCAATGTGATATGCAGGATGCTGCTGTTAATGCTCTGAAGCACTTCGTCCAAGCATATCTGGTTGCTGCATCTGTTGGTAGAACTGGTGATATAACATCAAAGTACCTAGAACTCTTGACTGACCCAAATGTGGCTGTAAGAAGAGGATCAGCATTAGCGATAGGTGTTTTGCCACGTGAACTTTTTGCCCACAGGTGGAAGGATGTGCTCCTGAAGCTTTGTACCTGTTGTGCAATTGAGGTGTAAAAGAAGTTTTAAATCTCATTGCCTTTCTCCTCTTTTGGTGCAAAATATAAATGATGATCTCCTAATTGACTGTACTTCATATGCAGGATAACCCTGATGATAGAGATGCCGAAGCACGAGTCAATGCTGTCAAAGGACTTGTGTCAGTGTGTGAAGCATTAGCTCAGGAAAAAGAACATTCTGGTATTGATACTGTGGAGGATGACATGTCTTTGTTCCTTCTCATCAAGGACGAAATAATGATGACTTTATTGAAAGCTCTTGATGACTATTCCGTTGATAACAGAGGTGATGTGGGTTCTTGGGTGCGTGAGGCTGCTATGGATGGCCTTGAGAGATGTACATATATACTATGCAAGAGAGATTCTGTTGGTCTCACTGGAAGATCAGGTCAAATCGATTCTGTTCTGGAGTTGCAGAACAGTGATGACAGTAACCAGTTGTATTCATTGTTTGATGCAAATCTTGCTACCAGTATAGTTGGAGGAATATGTAAGCAAGCGGTAGAGAAGATGGATAAACTGAGAGAAGCAGCTGCAAAGGTGCTACAGAGGATTTTGTACAACAAGATAGCCTATGTCCCACATATACCACACAGGAAAAAGTTGGAAGAAATTGTTCCTAATAAAGCTGATTTAAAGTGGGGGGTAAGTATACACTGTCCAAATCTATACTATTGTTGGTAAATAATTGAAGTTCTTTGACGGAGAGCCCATCATGTACTTGCTTGTAGGTACCAGCTTTTTCATATCCTCGTTTTGTACAATTGCTTCAATTTGGCTGTTTTAGCAGATCAGTGCTATCTGGGTTGGTTATCTCTATTGGTGGGTTGCAAGATTATTTAAGGAAGGCATCACTCACAGCATTGTTAGAGTATCTTCAAGTGGTAGAAAGTGAAGACCAGAAGGAGAGGTCCAGAGAGTATATGCTATCTACTGACATGCTTTGGGTTCTCCAGCGGTACGGGAGATGCGACAGAGTCATTGTGCCTGCATTGAAGGTAGTCTCAGATAAAACCTATTGCTTAGAAATATGAATCTTATCGTTTTATGGCAATTAAAGGAATGGGGGGCCCTTCTTTTCTTGATTGCATGCCCTACTATTAGGTGACCAAATTTTTCTGCCCCTCATTCTAGTAAAAGGGCAAGACTGGTTTATTATTGTACTTATTTCTTGATTACTTTATATGTTTTCTACGTACACATACCTATAACTTATGTGCTGGAGATCTTTATTTATTTGGGAATCAATATCGATATTGATGTTAATGTAATTATGTAACCACATGGTTGTAAAATATGAGAAAGCAGAGTTAAGTAATTAGTTAGCTTTTTGTTTCCTTCTACCTCCTTGGCTGGCTTCACAGAGAGGATGTCACGACCATGTGTAAACAAGTTCATAACCTATTTGCCCATCATCGCAGTAAATTATAGCTATAAACTTAACTAGATTAGCTCCCTAATTTCTTTTTATTCATTTTCTCATGTTTGTTTGTTTGTGTGCCTTCCCACTTATATTACAACTCGGACATTAAGCTTGCACAATTTTTTTATTATCTAGTTTTAGTGCAACATTTTCCTGCCTTGCTTGGTCAAGTTCCTTGATTTTGATGAAATCTCTTTGGTATTGCAGACCATTGAGATTCTATTCAGCAAACAGATATTGTTGAGTATGGAGGTTAGCCCTTATCATCTTGAAACTTTTGGCTCTATATGGTTTTTTGCCACTCTCACGATTATATATGATGATTTATTTGGATCTCAATTTCAATAAACAGGCTCATACACTCGTTTTCTGTACCGGTGTTTTGGATTCTCTGGAAGTTGAATTAAAAGGGTCAAGGGATTTCTCCAAACTATATGCAGGCATTGCAATACTTGGATATATTGCTTCAGTTTCGGAATCAATAAACACTCGGGCCTTCTCTCATCTTCTCAGTTTTCTAGGCCATCGCTACCCTAAGGTTTGTGGTTCCATGAAGTTTAAGTGTTTATGAATTAAAACCCTATTCATAATTGCATTGCCTCCTTTACATGAAGCATCTTGCTTTCAGAGTGAATTCTCTCTTAACGGATTATATTTGTTCTTTCCTCAACGCAGATACGGAAAGCTTCTGCTGAACAAGTTTACCTTGTCCTCTTGCAAAATGGGGGTCTTGTGGCCGAGGACAAGATAGAGAAAGCACTTGAAATTATTTCAGAAACCTGTTGGGAAGGTGACCTGGAAGCAGCGAAGATCCGTAGGCTAGAGTTGTACGATATGGCTGGACTCGACACAGATATACTTCGGAAGGCTAGTAGCAGAGTCTCAAATAAGGATGATAGCAGAAAGCCAACAGCAGATGAAAATGCATCATATTCCTCGTTAGTTGAGTCATCTGGATTCTAAATGTCTAAAAAACTAATGCTCGGATTTCTGCTAGTACCGTCCTTCCCTGTAGTTTGCTTTAGTTCTATCTGTGTGCTTCAAGATACTTGCTGAAATTTTGTTCGGGAATCTCCAAAGATCTAAATACGTATCAAGAATGAATATATGAGAGCTTGTTTGTGTAATTTGATCTGCTTGTTTATCATGTTCATGATAAGTGTTTGGTAAGCAGTGCTTTGTAAATAGATGCACTGAGATGAATTAACTGAGCACAATTTTGAGATTTTGTCAGAAGTGTTTTTGTGTGAATTTTTTTACCTAATGATACACGAGCTCAAATAAGAGATGAAATGAATTAATTGTTTCTCTTTAAATAACTATTTATCCAAAATAAATTTTAATTAAGTTCTGTATTTCCTCTCTCTTCATTTAATTATGTTTTGCACACTTCCTCACATCACTAACTAGCAATCAATCCTCAGATTTATTTATTGATACAAATTTTGCGAATTTTAAAAGACACCGAACTTTCCAACCCTCTCTTTCCTTTACAAGAACAAGACTTAACTTGAAACACCCCCCATCTGCTAATCTCTCTATCGCTTCACAAAAAATTTTAAAACAAAAATAAAAAACATCCCCTAGTATCTGCTTCCTAAGCAAGCGCCATCATCATGATCATTGATCATCAGCAATAATGGTGTTGACCCGCTCACATTCGTCTATCCATTCACTGTAGACGTCTATGGGTTCGGTCAAAGCCGTGATGGTTGTGCTATAACTCTCTTGGCAAACGCTGCAGAGAGCCTCCCCAATCATGTTCTTCATGTCAATGTCGCATTCGACGCTGCTCCCGTGGTTGCAGAAGGGGCAACAGAATGCAGTGTCAAGCTTGTCCATTCGCTTCTTAGCAACAGGCTTGGCCCTCGACTTTCTCTTCCCCATTGATCCTCAAAAAATCTGTGTCCCGAGTGAGTGTTTATGTTCAAGATATGCTAAAATATGAAAATATGGCAACTTCTGTATGTTGTGTTCTTCTCTATAATAAGGAGGTATTTATAGAAAGCGATAAAGTCCTAATTGTACAAGGATTGGTTTACTACACTTAATACTAATAATTCTTTAAACTATTCCACGGTTGGCCCAACTCAACAATTAATTGGATAAATAACAATGTTACGTAATATAAACGGAAATAAATTTTTCGTTAAAGAAACTCATCAAGTTGGATTTCCTTTCTCTCTTTCTTTCTCTTTCTATTTCTCTCTCTCTTTTTCTTCTCTCTTTTTTCTTCTTCTTTTCTCTTCTCCCTGTACCGCCGACAGTCTCTCTCTTTCTTTCTCTTTTTCTTTCTTTCTCTTTTTCTTTCTTTTCTTTCTCTTTCTCTTTTTTCTTGTTCTTCTTCTCTCTCTCTCTCTTTTCTTCTACCTCTTTTTTTTTTTTTCCCTATCCCTCTCTTCTTCTCCCTACGTTATTTCTGGTTCTATTTTTTTTTTCAAATCCCTTTTTCTTCTTTCTTCTTCCATATGAATTTATCTTGTAGATCTTGTACATCTGGGTTCAATTCTTGTATATTTGGAATCAGATTCCAAACCGTCAGTCTCTCCCAAACCTTCACAAAGTTGAAGGAGCAAAGGCCAGGTAAGCAATTTTAGGTCTTTGCTTTAGGAAATTTGGACTTACAATGTAGAAAGGTTTAAAATTTGCATCTAATTTTGGTTTTTAAGGAATCAGCCATATATGTCTTTATACATGTACTCAGGCAAGCAATTTAGTGCCTGCAAGGTTTTGGCCAGATCCACATGCCTATTCTTGGTACCCATCTATGTTACTTTTATTTTCCCTGTCTTTGTAGACGATGTTACTTTTATTTTCCCTGTCCTTAACATGAATTTATTGCTGCAAACTGGGATTACTATTTAGTTTAGCTTTGCTTATGAATGCTAAATTTGCTGATTGGTTTAGTTACTTGGTTTTCCAGACTTTGTTGCAATGCACTGATGCCTTGTATTGCTTTATGTTAAGAGGGATGGCATGATTCTTTACATGCGTTTGATGGTTCTGATTGCCATGGTTTATTATTATTTGTTAGGTAGGATCCAAGGTTCGGTAAAAACAAAAACAAAAATCACCATTAATGCGGTAAAAACAAAAACAAAAATCACCAATAATGCGGATAATGCGGGGCAATATTATATTACAAAAACCCTAAACCATAATGCGGATAATGCGGGGCAAAAATCACCAACATAAAACGTATATAAAACCCTCCCAATTAAAAAAGATCATCAAAACCATGGCTGGTTGTGGTTCTCCCTGTGGAGCCTGCAAGTTCTTGAGAAGAAAATGTGTGACGGGGTGTATTTTTGCGCCTCATTTCTGCTATGAAGAGGGAGATGTTGATTTTTCTGCCATCCACAAGGTTTTTGGCGCAAGCAATGTGTCGAGGCTTTTAGTTCACCTTCCGTTGAGCGATCGATGCAAGGCCGCAATGTCGATATCATATGAAGCTCAAGCCAGGATTCAAGATCCCATATATGGATGTGTTTCACATATTTTTGCTCTCCAACAGCAGGTTAATCATTTAGTACCCTTTGTATGTTCAGATTGGGTTTCTGTTCAGATTGTATGTTGAAGTAACTGATGAGTATATGCTTTTGGTTTGAACTTTTCAGGTGGTCAACTTACAAGCACAGTTAGCTTTCCTCAAGGATCAAGCAGCTCAAAGCTTTGTCAATGGCTCTGCTGTAGCAAACCCTAATCAAGCAGCTCAAAGTTGGTTTCATGAGTTAGAAAATTCATCCAACTCCATGCCACAATTCAATTCAACCCACATCAATAATCCTGGAACTACATCAGGCAATGGGATGAATACATGCCACAATTCAATTCAACCCACATCATACTATGAGAATGAAATTATGAATTCAAATAACTCTGTTAATGGGGGTTATGAAAATTCAATCAGGCAATGGGATGAATACAACAGGCAATGGGGTTTTCAGGATGCTGATGAGCTTCAATCAGTGGTTTCCAGCTACATTCACCATCGATGAGTATATTGGGATGAATATAACTTTGTAATATGTATATGGAACTCCTTATTTATCTTTTGAATGAAAGCTTTGTATTCTGGGATGCCTTATGAATGTGAAGTAAGGAAATATTTATGTTTATCATAGAGCTTCTATTTATAGATAAATTATACTTTTATCAGGTAATTTTGATAATTATTTAAAAAAAACATATATATTTGATATAACAACGCGCATTGCTTGTTGTCAAAACATAAACAACAACGAGCACAGACATGTTGTCATAATATTATAAGACAACACGCTCGGCACGTTGTTGTCAATCGCTCCTACAACGTGCGCGTGTTGTGGTTAATGTTGTTCACAACGAGCGCCAAAATAAATGACGACGTTCAACGCGTGTTGTCGAAAGCCCTACACCTTTTAACGACATCGGCTTCAACAATGTGCGCCGCATGTTGTCAATATGTTTTCACAACGCACATTGCGCGTTGTGAAAGGACATCGGAGGAGGCAGGGTGGTAGTAGTGGGAACTACCAAGTAGAAGGTTTCTCAACAGCAAAACATCGGAGATCATGTTCCACAGTGCGATTTAAGACTTCAGTTTGACCGTCTCTTTGATGGTGGTAGGATGAACTACGACGGAGCACCGTAGCCTGAGCCTTAAAAAATGAATCCCATAAACTAGAGATGAAAATGGGATCACGATCACTGACAATTGTTTTCGGCATGCCATGGAGGCAGAAAATCTCCTTCATAAAAAGGTCAGCGACCTGCAACGGTAAAAGGATGAGTCAATAGAATGAAATGGCCATATTTTGTGAGGCGATCAATAACGACTAACACCACATTTTTCCTACAGGTCTATTCTAGGAGCCTTATAGTGTCCCACTTGGACAAGACCTGATATTTCCTATGCTGTAAATCAAGTCTGTCAATTTATGCATACTCCAAGAGAATGTCATCAAAATGTGCTTACTCTTTCAAAAACAAACTACATGTTTTCTAATTAGCTGGAGTGCTAAGAAGCAGCAGTCAGTATCAAGATGCTCAACTGAAGCAGACTACATATCAGTTGCTTTGACTACAAAAGATATTTGCAGATATTGACTTCAAACTTCCTGATATTCATGTCTTATGGTGTGATAATATCTCAGCAATTGCCTTGGCATCTAATCCAGTGTTCCATTCAGGAACCAAACACTTTGAGTTGGATTTTCGTGTAACGCCCCGAAACCGAGCACGTAACATTGCCACACCTTTTTGACAACGCAATGTTACAATCCTTAACCCAACATATCATAACACTACAATCTCAATAGAATGCAAGGCATTTAAGTTTAAATAAATAAAATACTAAATAGTACGGAAACAAAAAATTTAAGTGGAAGGCCCAAAAGAAAACAAAAAAACTTTAATTTTATATAATACGAGTCATGCCACAATGAAGTAGTAGAGTTACGCAAAATCAACCAAATCTTACTATCGCCACTGCAATGTCAAACTCCTCATGATCACCTAGATTCCATACTTACTTGGATTCTTTCACCATAGTCCACATCACTTTGATATCACCACCATCAACTGAAATGGACGAACCTCCAGGATTTACCTCGAACGTAATATAAGCCAACTAGAACTTAGATTCCTAGAAGGAAAACAATATTCAACCGTAAAGGGATCAATTCACAACCCCAAAAGTCCTCTATTATACATTATTTAAATAATCTCCAAAAATCCAGAATTCATCTTCCACATTAAATGTCAAAACCAATTCAGAAGACCTAACTCATGCATTCCTTAATATAATAGTTCACATATTTCATTTTATTTTGTATCAAACTCAACAATCCATACAATCTCGATAATAAAAACTCTAGAACATATTTACAGCAATCAAACCAACTTAAATATTTACCTCAGTTCTCTGAATTGATATGAAATTCTCAATGAAGCTACCAAAAAGAACAAACAACTATCGAGAAGGCTAAAGTGGTTGGATGGCCACAAAACTTGGATATGTCGCGGGATCAGGATTCTGAACAACTTTCATGAAGGATATTTTATCCTCTAAGCAAGGGAAACCGACATTCCATTTCCAGAGTGAATAAGCTAAACACACTACAAAAAAAAATCGCAGCAGTCGTCATTATTTGGTGACATCTGCTGGGGTGACTAAAGCCTTTAGTCACCCCAGCAAATGTCACCAAATAATGGTGACTGTTGCCACTTATTTTTGTAGTGACAGCAGAATTGCAA